CTTGTTACAAAAACACAGCTTCCCTATCATCAAATGTCCCGGCACGCCCCTGATGAATGGGTATCATGGCATGCTCCTAGGGGTCTCCACAAAAAGATAATAATAAAAGTAAAAGAAAATGTAAATTATATAAAGAATTAGAACACATATAGTACAGAATAAACTGAATATAGAGAAAAAGAATTACATATGTTTCAAATAAATTTCAATCTTTACAATATAATTTTCAACTTATAGTATTTAGTTTTTATTTGCACAAACATTAGTTTCTACAGATGCCTCCATAACTCTGAGTCCTGGGGCTCCCACAGAAAAATGAATCTGTTCATGCCTTCATATATATCTTCATTACAAATTAAGTTTATTATAAATATTTTAATGTTAAGTAAATTTATTATGCTTATCATAATGTAAATAACATATTTGATTTAACAGAACTTATGAGTATTTACTAAATAAACATTTAAAAAAATTTTATTATATTGTGTAATTGTGTATATAATTAGTAATCATATTGTTAACCCTTCTACGACAACTTGATGATATATCATCAGTTCAGCTTCAGCTGAAACATATGAAATGATGATATTTTGTCATTTTGAAAAATGTTTAATTTTAATCAAAAATTCTCTGTGTCACTTTACTCACTAATCAATTTTCTTTGTGTAGTGTGTTTTATTGTTCTATAGTTTTGGTATTTTCCACTTACTGCCTAAAACCTAATGTCCTACTAACCTAAACAAATTGAAGAGAGACAGAAAATTAGTATATATGGACTGTTTCATATAAAGTGACATTGTTCATGAAAAAAATAGATAAATATATTCTCTTTTGTGCTGGCTTTGTACCAAAACAAATAACGAAATCAAAAAATTTATTTTTTGTCAAAGTAAAGTAATTTATAACATCAAAAATTTAGGAAACAATTTAACATTTTTTTGTAAGTAATTTTTACACCAATCAATTACACACTACTGTGCTGAAAATTACATAAAGTAATAAATATATGTAATTTTTTTTATCTCTATGATAAGAATTTAATTTTTGGTGAATTTTTAAAATAAAATACATAGAGTGACCTTGAGTGACTGCAGTTTGGATCAGTGTTTTGAAGGGTAAAGTACAACTGACTACATTGGAATAAAAGTGTTAAATAACATTCATATCATTTGGCAATATTGTGAGAGTAGCCGGGGGTACAACTCCGTTTAGGATTGTTTGTACCACTTAATCGGCACAGATTAACCAAAATCTGTCTCCAAAGTTTCGAATCGAGAGATCCGATCTTAAAAGTTTCATATAGGAGGGCTTTTATGTTTATTGATGATCTAGGCTGTGTAGTCTAGATCTACGTCAGGATTCCTTGACACCAGTTAATCAATCTTATTATACGCGGATTAACACGCGTGTGAGATCTGATTCGGTCACACAATTAAGAGACATTTTAATTAAAAACGAAACAATAAATTTAATAAAACAAGAAAATAAACTCATACAAAATGTGTATAAACGAAAGACAGAATTACTACAAATAAGATACAAATCGAGAGATAGCTATACTTATCTTCTGCCCAATTCGCGATCGAGAGAGAGAGCTCACAAAATCGTTATAAAACATATGACCTGTTTAGTTGTTGTTCGTCTTCTTCTCTGTATGCAAGGGACACTTTGGAGATAAAGTTAATTTACTTCTTTCCATGGGAGATCAATATGTGCACAAAATCCAAGTATGGTTTCTAAGTGCAGACTCGGGACTTAGTCTATGTGACTCGTCTAAGGGCGTTGGTCATCAGGAGGAAAATGTGTGGAGTTTGGACGCTTCCAGATCTGTCGCTGAACTCCCCGAATTCGGACTAAGTTCTCTTATATCTCAGGATTTACGACCAATTGTCTGCTAGAAACTCGTTCATGTGAACGGATGAAAGGGGGAATATGTGAGGGGTAGATAGTTCCCATCTGAGCGAGATTTTTAACGAATAAGGGAAAAACAGAGGATGTACGGACTTCCCTCAAAGGAAGTAACATCTGCTATCTATCTTTCCCATGTCCAAAACACTAGTTTTCTCACAAAAATGAAGTAATATTTTGTGACAATACTCCAACATTATTAAATAAAAATTATTAAATTAGACCCAGGGCCTTTCGGGTCTCACAATATGTGTTCATTGCAATGAATTCACTATGCCAGCTGTTAAGCGCCAAACTTGCTTTTAATAGTTTGGAACTTTGATCCAATGTTTTATGCAATTAAATGTAAATTCTTTGGGATGTTTCAAGTTTATACATAGTCAAAATAAAAGTTATCAACTGGAAGAATTGAAAACTATTGATTCAATGATTAGAAAAGGAATTATAAACAGTTAGGATACAAAACTTTCATTTGTATCTATGAGAGAGATGTGTAGACATATGCAATTTGTTTAAAACTATAACTCAAGAGATCAACTGCTGAACAGACAGAAATAATTAGAGAAATTGAGAAATTAAAAATATAAACAGATGTCAAAGAAAAAGATTAGATGAAAGATTGAGAAAATAACTTCCACAAAGTTTAATTTTAAAAATAGCAGAATAATATCATATGATCTAAATTTCTCTGATGATGCATCAAAAACAATGAATTAATAATGATAAAAAAATATTTATATAAGATGCAAAACAATTCCCTAAACAAAATTAAATTTTCAAGGTATATTGAAGAAGAAATTCAACAAAATATTGAAAATCTTAATCAGACAACTGAATCAAAATAATGAATTGAGAAGAATCAAAGCTACTTGTAAACTGAACAAATAAACTTAATTATTAGAACTAGTACCAAAAACATTGTCAAAAATAAATAAAGAAACAAATACCAATTAATAAAATATAAAAAATATTCTTCATGTGAGAATTCTTTTTAGAGAGATTTTTTCACCAACAGATAACATCAAATCAATTAAATTTTATATCAATCTCCCAAATAATATTTTATTTAAATTCAATAAATTTCTAGATTCTTTAAACTTATTGAATAAATGAATATCAATACTAATTCAATGAAAACAAATACAGTAGCAAGCTTATCAAGGTAGTAAATTAGTTGTGAGAAATACAATATTAAGAATTATAAAATGTAATTAAACAAAATATTCTTTATTCAATTACTGTTAATTTTAATTGTCATTTTCATCTATTAAATTATTTTAGTATAAAATTCATAATAATATTTTGACCTAATTTAGATTGAATCAGGGACTGAATGGAAGCCCCTGATGTGATAAGCTCTCCAATTTATTACAATCCTATTTATCGTTATGCTTTGTGGCATTGTAAATAATATTTCCATGATTGTAGAACCGGAATATAGTCGGAGTTAATACAATCTCCTTTCGTGCCCACTATATAAAGGGAATGTGCCCAAGGGGAAATATAATACTGCACTAGCCCAGTATAATACCGAACCCTGGGTTTCCCTTTGTTGGGATGAAGCTACTCTTTTACACAGAGCTTTTGACCGACACAACTTCGTTGGAGGTTTTTGAAATTTATATAGCGGGCATGAAAGGAGATTGAATTAACTTTGACTATATTCTGATTCCACAATCGTGGAAGTATTATTTACAATGTCACAAAGCATAACAATAATGTTTGACATCCTTTATATGTTAAAACATCGAGCTAACTTTTACAACCCTATTTATTAGGCTAACTAATTCAATCTAAATTAAAGTTGTAGGCTAGAAGCATTATTTAATATTATAATATTTTGGTCAATAAAAAAGTTCCCCAATTCATATTCTCATAAAATCACTTATGAATAAGAAATTCAGAAAATTGAAATAACTTAATTGGATAAAATTTTTAAAATAGTTTAAGATGTAAAAACAGTATTTTAAGTTATATTACCATAAATAAAGTATTATTTACAAAATAATCATACCTTGTACTTATTACTAATTTATCCCAATGACCATGTATATCATCTTCTGAAGGTTGTTCTGAAATATACAGTCCATCAAATTCAACAGCTCTTGCAATTTCTTTTTCTCGTTTAAATATTGCTAAAGGAACCTAAANCAATAAATTTCTAGATTCTTTAAACTTATTGAATAAATGAATATCAATACTAATTCAATGAAAACAAATACAGTAGCAAGCTTATCAAGGTAGTAAATTAGTTGTGAGAAATACAATATTAAGAATTATAAAATGTAATTAAACAAAATATTCTTTATTCAATTACTGTTAATTTTAATTGTCATTTTCATCTATTAAATTATTTTAGTATAAAATTCATAATAATATTTTGACCTAATTTAGATTGAATCAGGGACTGAATGGAAGCCCCTGATGTGATAAGCTCTCCAATTTATTACAATCCTATTTATCGTTATGCTTTGTGGCATTGTAAATAATATTTCCATGATTGTAGAACCGGAATATAGTCGGAGTTAATACAATCTCCTTTCGTGCCCACTATATAAAGGGAATGTGCCCAAGGGGAAATATAATACTGCACTAGCCCAGTATAATACCGAACCCTGGGTTTCCCTTTGTTGGGATGAAGCTACTCTTTTACACAGAGCTTTTGACCGACACAACTTCGTTGGAGGTTTTTGAAATTTATATAGCGGGCATGAAAGGAGATTGAATTAACTTTGACTATATTCTGATTCCACAATCGTGGAAGTATTATTTACAATGTCACAAAGCATAACAATAATGTTTGACATCCTTTATATGTTAAAACATCGAGCTAACTTTTACAACCCTATTTATTAGGCTAACTAATTCAATCTAAATTAAAGTTGTAGGCTAGAAGCATTATTTAATATTATAATATTTTGGTCAATAAAAAAGTTCCCCAATTCATATTCTCATAAAATCACTTATGAATAAGAAATTCAGAAAATTGAAATAACTTAATTGGATAAAATTTTTAAAATAGTTTAAGATGTAAAAACAGTATTTTAAGTTACATTACCATAAATAAAGTATTATTTACAAAATAATCATACCTTGTACTTATTACTAATTTATCCCAATGACCATGTATATCATCTTCTGAAGGTTGTTCTGAAATATACAGTCCATCAAATTCAACAGCTCTTGCAATTTCTTTTTCTCGTTTAAATATTGCTAAAGGAACCTAAAAATTTATATTACATTAAAAATAATAAAAAAATTAATAAAGCCTATAAAAAATTTGAAATAATAATATGAATTAAAAGTAAATTTGCTATTTAATTTTTTTTAATCATTTGTAGTCATTAATTTTTAATAAATTATATTAATAAACATTTGTATAGCAAAAAGTTATTTTGTTGTCTTTCTTAGCAACAATTTTTGATTTTAATTTGAATTTGGAAGGCATTGAACAATGGAGAAATATTCTGAAAACATTTCTTTGAATTTATGTTACAAAAATGAGTTTATATGTAGTCAAAAATACTTGTAGCGTTCAAACCATAAAACAATTTTTTTAGAACAGAAATTATTTTATTTGTATGTTTTTATCATAATAAATAATATATTAATATATTTTTTTTGTAATTTAACTTTTAATTAAAAAAATGAAGTTATTTGTTAACAGAAAAATAATATAAATTTTATTAAATGTATTAATTATAATAAATAAAAAAAAAAAGCAAAAACTTACTTTTAAATTATAATATGCAATTAACATACAAAATGAAACCAAGGAATGCAATAGTGCTAACATTCTTATAACTGGCTCTAGATAAAATACTTTCTCTTCTATTACTACCCATTCTTCTATATCTTCGTCATCATCATCCCCTAAAATTCCCCCATCATCAATTTCTTCAGTAAAATTTCCCATTATATCACCATTTTCTTCTTCTTCACCATTTTCTTCATCATCATCATCAACTTCTGGACTAGTTACCTAATATTAATAAGTTCAACAAAATTTTCAAAAAGATTTTTATTATATTAGAATTTTTGCATATACAGTAAAAGCTCAATATCACAGACTTCATGTTATTATGCACAGCTAATGTCACTCCAGTCAAAAGTATAGGAAAATCATAAAACTCAATCACTGTAACGAACTCCTTTATAATGGACTCCCACTACTATGGGCTATTTTTCAAGTCCCAAAGACCACTTTCTTTCCATTATTATGGACTTTTTAGTTACCATTTTATTTCATCACAGATACTGTTTTTATTTATTTCATCATAATTATCATTTTATTTACTTTATTTGCAAAAAATAAATACAAAAATAATATAAAATTCGTTTTTAATCATATTTTTTTGACATAGATTTTCACATTATATTTAGTTTTTGTTTTGTTTTCTGATTGACTATTTTTGTTAAGTTTTGGTTTTATTTTCTCTATAAGCAATGAGTCTTGGACTTGTTGTATGAAGCAAAGCCATGGATAATAGAAAAAAATGGAAAGCTTTAGAGTTAGCACAAAAAATGGATATAATTCATCAGATCGACGATGGAAAATCTCAAGCTGAAGGTGGTCTCTGAATAAGCAGACAATTTCAGACATTTGGAAAGCAACAAAAAAAACCACAAGCTTTTCTTAAAACAATTCTTAAAAACATTTATAAAAAATAATAATGAATAAAAGTATTATTTTTACTTTATTATTTGTTTATTTTTTCAAGTTTAATAAAAATCTGGCTTATACACTTTGCAACTGAAATTTTGTCCACTATGTAATTGACTTTTGTCCACAATATCCACATACAGCAGTGTTTCCCAAAGTGGGGCATACGCCCCACAGGGGGGCAATTTGATGGTTGGAGGGGGGCAATTTGAGAATTGACATGACATAATTTCTTCCCTTCGCTATGAGCTTTTTTAATGCAATGCTTTAGGTGACAAATAATATGAAAAAGACAATTTTTTAAATAGAGGACTTAAATTATTAATAAGCATTTTTAAGATGGTATCAAAACCTAAACTATGTTATTAGAGTCCGCAAGTGAACTTTTCAGCGTTTCCCTTTGCTGTATCTCTTGTCACAGAAATCTTGTATCTTTTAAAGTTGCTAAGTAACAACGTTTTTGCACAATGTTTTTCTAAAAATTTAACTCTAATATTTTTAACACCTATATGTCATAATTGTCTGTCATTTATATGATTAAATGAATTAATTAATACATGTTGTAGAAATATAATTTTTACGTATTGAATAATTTATGTTTATTTTTTAACCATTTAGCTTTTTATATAAGTTTTTAAACTGTAAAACTATTGATAATATTTAAAAACTAATTAATTGTGCTTTTTT